ACTTCCCTGTCCTATAAACAGGCAGCTAATTATCTAATTCCAAGAAAGCAAGGCAAGGGAGAGAACAAAGATATTTTTTTTTCCTTTCAGAACTAACACAGGAGATAAAGCTGAAATGTGGCCAATCCACAGCCCACAAGCAACTGCATAAACCAAGTGCCTCTCTCTAACTTTACTTCTAAACTGGTTTTAGTTTCAGGCAATGAGACCTGTAGGCCCTACTGGAAGGGAGAGAGATGTCTGTACAAGGATCAAAAGGGGTGATTTGCTCCTAGCGATTTAAGGTTGGTATTCCAAACCTTACTAACTTGTGTAAATGCTCCAAAAGTGAGCACAGAAATCAAACATCACCAAAGCCAGCTCCCAGTGCTCTGACTGCAGCTTGGAAAAAGGATTTCAGCTCTGCCTTAGGAAGTGATTGTTTGAAGGCTAAACATATTTCACAAGCTCAGATGACACCACTACCCTTCTGCCTCTGAAAACAAATGTAACACACATCCTTTCTAGCTTACTGATAACAACAAACCATGATTTTGCTTAGGGCACTTCAAAACATTTGGGCCTATCCAAACCAAAACCTCTTCTTGTTAATTTTTTATCATGCCTTAAATTCTCCACATATATTAAAAAGAAAATGCTCCTTGGCAGCATAAAATGCCTATCAAACCAAACTGGTATCTATTAATGTAGTCTAGGTATAGGCACTAAATTGCTAAGCTGTTGAAATTAAATGCAGCCACCCAGGCTTGTGCTCAAACAGTGAGCATCATTGTTTTTAACTATGGCTTGGGGGGAGAGGAGAGAGATCTGTGGTTATTTACAAAGTTATGGCATCTTGCTTTGTGAAGTTAAAACAAAAGCCTGAGTATTCGCTTCCTAAGGGGTCTATTTCTGAGTATCTCATTATTGTTGTGGCAATGACAAAAGTCTTTGACTTATGGTTTAAACAAGGAAAACAAAATGTCTTTATATTAAGACACAGGCTTCAGGCCTCCTAATGTAAGATTAAGCAAGTGCTTTGACAAATAGCCATTCTTTCCAAGTGTGCCTGAAATGCTAACACCCTCTGTACTTTACAAGGATACTGAAAAATACACTTTACAAGACTGCTAACAGAACTTCATCAATGCCCAGAACCCCATATAAGCTAAGAGACTTGTTTTCATGTGCACTCTAAAGACTTTTGCATTGCCTTGCAAAACAGAATTAGTTTCTGTTAAAAATATCTCCCTTTACACCAGCTATCAACATCACAAGACAGACACTGTCAAAACCACAGTACAACACCATGCTCAAAAATTAAGCTCATTCTCCTCTTTCCCCTGGTTTCATGCAGAACACACTTGACTTACTTTCACTTAGAAGACAAAGGTTGTTTTCTATCTGCATCTATTAGGAAACAAGCCAGGGCAGCTCAGCCTAGTTTGTATCCTCCTCCTCCTCCTCAAAGAACAGGCTGCAAGTGGCCAGTTCCTAAACTCCACCACCTGTTTAGATGAGATCCCTATGAACTAAATGAGAGCTCAGACACTCAGAGTGCAGACAAACACCTATGATTAGATGTGTGAATCTTGAGCTACAACTCATCCCTTGTGGCAGCTGCAAGAGCCTGAACAGCATACAAGGCAGTTAGACTGCCAGAGGCCCAAAAAAGCTTCATGTGAGATTCCACAGATGCTAGAAAGCAGCATATCACATACATACAGTACCAGACCTTCTGTTGAGCTACATGGTTACTTGCATTAAGTTCTTTTAGAGTTTTGAGCACTGAAAGAAAATTCAACAAGACACACACTTTGGTATTGTTTTTATGATTATTGATGTCTTGTACAGACTCCCCTCCCTATGCTTGTACTAAAGGAAACATCCACCCACAGTTAAAGTGTATTACACCTTGATGAAGGCCTCACCTCTTCCCTTAACCCCAGGGAAGCTGGAGAGTTTTAGCACTGTTGAGCCAGAGGGGAATGAAAGGCAGCCCTACCCCACTGGAGTCCATCTCACTTGTGTACTCCCCAAGAGCCCTCCAGGATCCAGCTGAGTCTACAGGTTCCTGAGCTGCACAGCCAAGAAGCACAGCTTGTTCATCAAGGGAATGAGACAAGGCTTCACCTTTTGAAACCATTATAAACATCACTTGGAACTAGAATCTAAGCTTATGCCATGGAGAGCAGAATCCTATGTTAAGATACCCGAGATACTTTGAGACATCAAATACACAAAGGTTACTTCAGACCACTTGCAATAAAGTGCAACAGATGATACTTAAAGAAAGGTATATGCAGAAATAGTGTTAGATAAACGGCATCTTAGCACACATGTTGGTAGGAGAAAACATTTAATTAAAGCAGTGCACACAAATTTAATAGCTAGATTTCCCTAAGAAATTCTGAGGGTGAAACATGCTGCTCATGAAGGGTTTATCTGTTAAAGAAATTCCATTTCATTCAGGGTGGGATTCTGGCCCAGCAAAAATTCAAGAGCAAAAACCCTATGGACTTAATCAGGTCAGTACTTTACTCTCCATTTCATCACTCTTAACCTTTGGCTGAAGTGAAGATAGGTATTTTCCCACTGCCCAACCCCCATGTTATAATCAGTCAAGTTTTCATTTTCTAAACCTCAATGAAAAAAAAAAAAAAATCAACTCCAAGAACTCAATTAGATTCACATACAGTGTTATCCTCAACTATGATTTTATTAAGTTCCAAGACAGACTTACCTTCCAGGTGTAAATAATTTTTCCATTTCTTTCAACATTTACAACGTAGAGTGCTGATAAATTCTCAGAAGTACCTGAAATAAGAAGCATCAAAAGGTACAGGATTCTCATTTGAGCTGGTTCATCATAAAATTTATGAACACTTTAACCAAAGATACTAAACACATTCTAACATGTAAATACTTCTGTTTATATATGTCAAAATGACTCCCTTCTGGAAAAAGAGAGTATTTCTTACACAGATTTAAATCTGATAAACTTCAACACAGATAGTTAAGGTATCTCAAAACACACAGGGAAGAATTATTTATGTAAACTCCTAACTCTTCACCATAATTGTGAGTCTAATGGCCACTACCTTTCGGTATGAAAATGGAATGTGCTTTTTCCAGAGAAATAAACCCTAAACAAACAAAACCCAAAAAAACCTTGCATTTATTTACTATACAGTACAACTACCTGAACAGAGGTTGTACAGAGGTGAGGGATGTCTGTCCTGCCACGGCTGCAGAGAGAGGACTAGAGGGAATGGCCTTGAGCTGAGACAGGGCAGAGTCAGATGAGATGATAGGAAAAATGTTTTCCCTGTTAGGGTGTTCAGGCACTGGGACATTTCCCAGGGATGTGGTGGAGTCACCATCCCTGGAAGTGTTTAAGAGGCATCTGGATCTGGCACTGGAGGATATGGTTTAGGGTTTAGGGGTTTCAGCAGTGACAGGTTAATGGTAGGACTGGATGGACCTAGAGGTCTCCTCCAACCTTGATTTTATGATTCTATGAAGTCACACTCCAATCCTCAGGACACTATAGGGAGACAGAACTAGCCTGAGGAAAGTGCCATTTGCTCCCACTTGCTCCTTCAGCATCTCAGAGGAAAGCCTGGAAATAAACTACATGTTCAGATATTAGCTCTACACCACTACCACTCCTCTGGCATTCTTAGCTCTCCTCCTCCAAAAGAAAAACCCCCAAAGAAGCATAAGAACCATAAGATGAGCAGGCAGCTAGGATGGAGACAGAAAAAGAAAAGTCTATCTGGACAAAGCAATGCAAACAAAAAAGAAAACTACCAGAAAGAAAGGATGAAATATCATCCTCAAGGTGACAAAAATGCATGTTCTCCTGATGCTGCTTTTATCTTTTCTAATCACTGCAGCCACCAAAAATGTGTTTATCTCAGGTGGTGTTTTTACTAAAAGTGGAAATTTTGCCCTTAAAAGGATTGAAGCTGCATGATTGGTCTTAGTTTTATGATAAAGGTAGCCTGCACTTCAGTCAGCACCTACTAAAAGAATTCTCCTCAACTCTCAGCAAGCATTTAGTCAAGTCTGACACTATTTACTTGGCAGTTATCTCAAACCATTGATAGAAGGAAGACACTTAGTGAAACTTTGTTTAACAAGCCTGATGCTATGAACTAGCTTGTACAGCTTCCAGTGCCAAGAAAAAAAGACTTTTTTAAGACAAATATTATCACAAGGAAGTAAATTTTCTATTTTGTTGTGGGAGGACAGTGAAAATCCTTCATGCACATGCAACAACACATCACTTTCTATAGGTTTCAGATCTTTCAAAGCACAGTACAACACCACTACATTAGGACTGGTGACAACTGAGAGAAGATAACCATGCCCTCCACTCTTTTTTTTAGTGGAAACTTCCTGGAACTTAACCACCACCTCAAACTTTCAAGATGAGTACTACAGTCTTCACACTTCTTTCTCATACAGTACTTCCTCAGAAGAGAATTTAGATAGAGAAGAAGGTCCATGAGAAATCTCCATGCCAATGAATTTCCCTATCACCTGACACAGACATCTTAAAGGTGTTGATGAAGTTCTGTGTCAGAACAGAGTTTCATGTCACTGAACAGTCAGTGGGAATGTGGAACCGAAGGACAAGGGGCAATGGTTTCCACCCTTGGAAAGTCCTGCAGTAAAACCCAGCATGCAGAATTACAACTTCTTCCTCATGCCCACAGCTGAGGCCTGCAGATGAAGGGCTGCAAAGGAACCAACCCAACCTGCCTGCCCAGCAAACAGCTCTTACTGGCATAATCAGGAGAAGGCAGAGTTTGATTTCCTGAGGGCCATGATATGCAGCTCATGCAAAAGTAAGGGGAATGAAGAGAACAAGGCTGGTTCTCTTCACTTGCTGCTCCCTTCCTGCCATCATAGCTACTCCCAGCTCTCATGCAACTAGAGATTCTCACATGCTATCAAGGGTTTTCATACAGTCACAGAATCAAGTTTAGAGGAGACCTCTAAGGTCATCGAGCCAAATCATTAACCTGCCACTCTGCTGTAGAAGGAGACGACTTTCAAGTCCTCAAGAAAGAAAATAATAAATATGAATACCTACAACATCTAAAACCACAGACACAGAAGCACCGTAACTCCTAAAAATTGCTTTCTGTGTTTAGGTATTTCTTGAATGTCTAAATGAATCCTTTCAAATTCCTACCTCCCACCTTCACATTCCTAATACAACAGCACTGCTTGAGGGAAAGAAGTCAGTATACACAGGTAAGTCAAAATGCAAAACAGCAATGCTGATATCTGATCAGATCCACCTTCCAAACCAGATCCTTCTGATTCTGTATCACCAGGGACATCTACTGAATGAAGACTCTGTCTTACATTTTTAAAATCTGAATACAATTGTCCCTTTCCCAAGCACAAGTCGGCACCACCTTGAGATCCTTATGCTACAAATACATAGACTGATTTATCTTTGAAATCACCACAGATGAACTGATAAATTCATAGATGAATCAGTTGTGCACAGAGGATTTCAGATTGTTACCTCAAATGCTTCAGTACACCAGTCAAAGTTCAGTAAACTATGGAGAAAACGGGAAATACTTTTTAACAGATGATGATTTTAACAGATGATTTTTAACTGATGGATTGGTAAATCACTTTTACATTTACCAACGTGGTACTTTTTGGTTTGCCACCAAACAAGATCTTATGGGCCTATTTGATAACAGTCCTTAATGTGGGAAGCAGGTTAAATATTTTAAGTACATTAAAAGCAACGAAGTTATCTTCATCACACTGAAACATCACCAATGATATTTCTACTGAAGCAACAATTATTACACGCTTTATTAGAATAAGGTTTCCATCAGCTTCACAAAAGCAGAACTGAGGCAGCTGCTGTGCAGATGAATAAGAGCAAACACAAGCAAAAAGCCACAGGGCCAAGAATACAGGGGGGTCATTCTTTTTTCCAACCACCACCTCGAGCACTGGCCGCGCTGGCTATCACACCCTGCGGGGACAGACAACACCGCGGCTAATTTTAACCTGCACTCATTTACCATTCACACCAGTGTGTGCCGGCTGGGGGGGTGGGGGTTTCTTCCCAGAAACGGGAGTACCGTGTGAGAAAAGTTATGCTAAGTCATTTTGTTGTTTTCTTGTTTTTGGTGGGGGAAAAACCCCAAATGTGTTAAGACGGAGAGGAAAGAAACAAGCTGTGAAGTACAGCAGTGTAGAAGTGCAACAAAAGTGCAGCAGTGTAGAAGTGCAGAAGTGTAGAAGTGTAGAAGAAATGCAGCAGTGTAGAAGTGCAGCAGTGCAGAAGGGCAGCAGTGTAGAAGTACAGAAGTGCAGCAGTGCAGCAGTGTAGAAGTGCAGCAATGTAGAAGTGTACAAGTGCAGAAGTGTACAAGTGCAGCAGTGTAGAAGTGTAAAAGAAATGCAGCAGTGTAGAAATGCAGCAGTGTAGAAGTGTAGAAGAAATGCAGCAGTATAGAAGTGCAGCAGTATAGAAGTGTAGAAGAAATGCAGCAGTGTAGAAGAAATGCAGCAGTATAGAAGAGTAGCAGTGTAGAAATGCAGCAGTGTAGAAGTGCTGCAGTGTAGAAGTGTACAAGAAATGCAGCAGCGTAGAAGAAATGCAGCAGTATATAAGTGCAGCAATGTAGAAGTGTAGAAGAAATGCAGTAGTGTAGAACTGCAGCAGTGTAGAAGTGTACAAGAAATGCAGCAGTGTAGAACTGCAGCAGTATATAAGTGCAGCAGTGTAGAAGTGCAGAAGAGACACAGCAGTGCAGCACCGCCAAAGTGCAGCAGTGTAGAAGAAATGCAGCAGTGTAGAAGTGCAGCAGTGTAGAAGAAGTGCAGCAGTGTAGAAGAAATGCAGCAGTGTAGAAGTGAAGTGCAATCTAAGTGCAGCCGTGTCGAAGTGCAGCAGAGGCACAGCAGTGCGGCACGGCCGAAGTGCAGCCGTGCAGGGTGTTTTGGGCTGGGAGGAGCTCCCTGCAGACACCGACTGTCCCCGCGCGGGTCCCGCGGCACGGGGGGGTCGCTCCTGTCCCCAGCCCCGAGCGAGTGACCCCGGGCGTGTCTCGCGCCTTCCCCCGATCTAAGTGCAGCCGTGTCGAAGTGCAGCAGAGGCACAGCAGTGCGGCACGGCCGAAGTGCAGCCGTGCAGGGTGTTTTGGGCTGGGAGGAGCTCCCTGCAGACACCGACTGTCCCCGCGCGGGTCCCGCGGCACGGGGGGGTCGCTCCTGTCCCCAGCCCCGAGCGAGTGACCCCGGGCGTGTCTCGCGCCTTCCCCCGACCCCG